ATCAATCCGGTCTGTGGCGTCCTGGCACTTAGAAGTGAGGCGGGGCGGGGGGAGCCTGTGACTGATCAGAAAGGGCAGGCCCGCTGCTCGCCACCTTCCGGGCTTTTCCGCGGGTGCATGCTCAGTAGCTCTGGCCCTTGCCAACCTGTGAGCGTGCCATGAAACAAACTGGCATTCGGATTTTCCAAAACAAAAGACAAAACCCGTCACCACTGTAATCCACCCTAGGACAACCAGGGTCACCGCAGGGACTTAGCACAGGGACTAGGGAGGGGGTGGGAGCCGCTGCTGGGCTGGCCGAGGACTCCACAGAGTGGGGGAGACTGAAGACACTGGTGCACGACTGGCTGCTCTGCTGGGTGCTTTAACCTCTGGGGCTGGGCGAATGCACGCCTGCCGAGGGCCCTTCTGAGCCTTTTTTCTCTTTTCCTTTACTGGAACTGCTTGGAAGTGGCCGTCCTGTTTGTGAGAAAACACACAGAAAGATTATCAAGCTTTTCATTTCTCTTTATTGTAGTTTTGTTTCCTCTTTGCAGCACCACTGTGCAACTATGCATTGTATTTCACAACCTTTTGTGCTAGGTAGATGCCTGTGACTTTTTAACTTGGGGGGTGGGGGGGTTGCAAATGAAGGAACTTTTTACATGGATCTTTTTAATCTCAGTTGATTGGGGGAGGGGGGTATTTGGTTCTAGGGTCATACAAGCTCTATCCCAAAGCAAAATCCAAATGTTAATAATATTAGCCTGATGCAGATACCAAAGATAATTTCTTTCCTGCAGAACCTTAGACTTGTGTATTAAGTACGATTACCCAGCACTTGCATTAGTCTAACCTCAGTAATTCCAAAGCTTAGATGTATATTTTGGTATATTTCTGGGATATTAAAAAAAATGTCGTTTAACTTCCTGTTTGTTTCAGTGTAATGCTCTTAAAGTCATAGCATGAAAATTGAACTGTCCTATTCTTAGTAGTTTGAAATAATAGTATTTTTGTATGTTTTGGGTGTGTCTATGTATGTATTAACATAACAGTTTTCACTGCCTAGGTGTTCATAATAAAAAAATGAAAAAGTCCTGAGTGTACATAATATTCAATAATAATCTTCCACCAGGTGTCAATTGGATTGCCTATTCCTGATTACTGTTCCCAGTTGGGATTTTGTTTTGTTTTAAAGAGACAGTGATCGTGTTTTTCTAAAGATGTTTTCTTTCTGTCTTTAAATATCTTAACTCCCCCACCTTTTCTTTTCTTTCTTTCTTTCTTTTTTTTTTTTTTTTAATTATTAATTCAGGGGTGTTTTTCCACTGTTGTCAAGGGAGGGACACAAGGGGAGTTGACCCCGTGGCCTCCCCGAACTTTTTGTTTTATGTACTTTAAAATGTGAGTTTGAGTTCTTCTTTGTGGAAATTTAAGATGTGGTGTAAATGATTCTTTCCAGAACTGTCCAGCAGCTTTAATGAGGCAGTGACAATTCCTAGGTAGTCTGTTGGGAGTCCTTCTACATTTCTCCTTAGATCGCTTTGCAGTCTGGGTGGCTATTGTGTAGCCTCACTGCCCCAGAGCGCCTGTTTAGCCATTTCCCCCATAGGAATATTTCGTAAGAATCAGCTGATAACTTGAAGTGCTGGACCTTGTTACCTGTGCCCCTGGGAAACACAAGTTTTCTTGGTCTTGAAAACCTGAAACACAAGCAACTTTACATTTTGGGGAATTAGCTGATGATACCTCCTGAGGCCTGAGGAGGTGGCGGGGAATATGAGCGGTGCTGTCTCTTTAAAAGTGCCCTTTATGTGATTCCCCTCCTGGGGCTGCCTGCAGGGGGCTGTAGGCTTGGGAGAGATTGCGTAGGTGACAGTGAATCAGAATGAAATGGTAGATTTTGTGTAGATGCATTTGTCTGCTGTAATTTTTATATATATATTAAACTTACTGTAAGTGTACAGTTCCTTTCTGTTGTAAAACATCATTAAACCATTTTCCAAGTGTTTTCATACTGTCTGAGTTTCTTCGAAGTTGCTGTGTTGGGATTCTGGATGCTTCACGCGCACAGTCCCACAGACTGCTCCGCAGCCTTCCGGGTTATTTTTGCTAGCAGATGCTCTCAGGAACCCCAGAATCACCTGAGCACTTTGGGGCTCCCCCTGCCCCGGCCAGCTCCTGGCCTCCGGGCTTCCTCCTGTGCTCCACAGGGAGCTGTGGCCACTGGTTTCTCCCTCCACCGTCCCTCAGTGTGGTTTGGGGGGGCCCCCGAGTTGAGTCGCGGTCGTCTCCTTCAGACCCAAGCACTTCGTGTGATCAAACACGCGGGCCCCGGATTGATCCTGCGAGAGGGCTCTTCCAAGCTCCGGCTCACTGCATGTGACGGCAGCACTGAGATCGGACTCGACTCTTCCGAATTTATTGTTTAAAGCGCCTTGTCCCTCTGGCATCTCTTGCCAAGTCCTGAACGTTCATTCTGCCGGGAGTCCAGGGAAGGAAGCTGATCCTGAACTTGGCATCCGGTCCTCCTGTGTGAGGATGCACAACTTCCCGTCCTCTGCCTCATCATACGACTTAGCATTTAGTGCCGTAATACCATTCATCGATTTTGTGAAAAGGAAAGTTTGAATTTGAAAATGAATGTCCCCCAGAGAAAAAGCTTCAGCTTGTTGAAGAACTCCGGGAAGCTCCCTAGCGCGTGCTCACGATCCGATGGGTGTTCTCATTGAGTTAGGTGGTAGCTGGGGACGGCTGCTGCCAGACGCGCCTGCTGTCCGGGAACGGGACCAAAATGGGAAGGTAAATAGTGGGTCCTCTTCTCCCCTGCTCCCACGTCAAAGAACTTCTCATTCCTTTCCTTCCCATCCCTTCTTACATTTATGGCTTGCTGTTACATTTGTAAAGTTATTTTCTTAAAATAATTTCAAGTTTTTAACAAATCCTCTATTTAGTAGAGACAGTGTCATGTTCACTAACAGAAAAAAGACTTTAGCAAGCAAAACCCGTTTGTCACATTCTAAGGAAGGAGGATAAACTACTGATTAGACTCTGTTACCCTGTAGTCCTTTTTCTAACCCACTTCAGGGATATATACAGAGCCGTAGTATCTGCCCTACTCTTCTCTTTGGAAAGCCTTTTCTGTCTCCAAAGACGAGGGGTTGAAGTTATAGGACATCTGTACCAGGAACTGTCACAGGTTCACAAAAATAGTCATTGATCAACAACTGAAATGTCCAGCGCCAAGCAACCAAAACACGTCACAAGTTATTCATGGACAGAATGAAGCCTACAAGCTCAGTTGGCCAAATGACAAGGCTTTAAATCACCTCTGGAGTTGTCCTCTTAGCCTAAATTGGTCATCTGCCCTTTTTTCCCTGCGATGCCTGGGTTTGGTGTTTTAAGTATTGCTCGTGAACAGGAATCTTATAAACCAAGAACCTTGAGTCTTCCAAGAATAACCTTGAATTGTACTCTTAAGAAAAGTGATCAGAAATACCCACATCCTACCTCTGATTTTAGTGACATTGAAGTGATGCACTTTTGAAAATATTGAGAGCTGACTCTTTATATATGTTCTGGTTCCTCAATACAAGTGAAATTCCGTATTTCCTTGATTCTGAGACACATCTTCACATTTTAGCAAATGAAAAAGAGCTACGTCTTATAATGGATATTTACATTTAGCGGAGTGTTTTTCCCTTGAAATGACTTGATGGTGTATCTTATCTTACAATCTACGGTGTCAGGATGGAGGGAATCCTGGCGATTCCAGGGGTGGCCTCTCTCACCTTGAATCCAGTACTTCACTCTCAGGAACTCGGGTTTCGAGGCCCTGCGTCGGCGAGCACGGCCACTCGGTCCTCCCCCGGCTTGCTGTCTGTGCAGCCGTCGTGCGTGGAGCCCGAAATGCCCCACACCCCAGGTTAGCTCCAGCACCGTGGCTCCCTGCCAGCTTTCCTCCTCGCCTCCTGAGACACATTCTTGGCAGTATTAGGTCAAGCTCTCTGATTTTCAATATGAGAGCAGCCATGGAGGTCACGTGGCCTGTGTGTGACTCAGCTGACCTTGAAACCAGATCTAGTGCAAGCCCTAAGTGTGAGGCTCGCTCACGCTCACTGCAGATGAGCCACACTTCAGTTTTAAAATCCCAGGGAGTAACAGAATTTTTCTGAGGATAAGTTACAAATCAAATGCCCCCTCTGCTTAGTTGCCGTGAGTTGTTACACGGGCCTGGCGGTGGTAGGCATTGCTCCTGTTGGAATTCCGAAGTTTCAAGGGCTTTTAACGGTCAGGGTCTTGGACTTCTATTTTGAAAAAAACCAAGATAGAGATTTCAAAGTCTTTATGAGCTATTAATTGGTATGTTTGGTGAGTTGGGGCCTTATATATAGCTACTGCAGTTAGAGGAAATGCTGCTGGGACAGGGCCACCTTTCGTGAGAGAAACTAACCTAAAAGATCTCTGTCGTCCTCTGCCTTTCCCCAAGCCCTATGGACTGAGGCGTTTTGTGCTGTGGCCGCAGCTGCTGTGGGTAACTCCGGACACCCTCTGCTCACGGGCGCCTCTTGCCCGAACGCCAGGCTGCTCTCCCGCTGGCTTTCCTGCACTCCTCAAGCTGGGCGCCACACCGCAGGGCTCCTCTCCCCGTGGCCCTCCCGGTTCTGTTGTAAGGCCCCAAGCCCTGCTCTCTCCATCCCGAGGCAAGGCCAGCCAGCCTAGATGCTGCGCTCACCTTGCACCGCGTGCCGCCATCCCCACGGCGGCATTCTGGGCGCTGGGTGCACCTGCGCTCACCGTCCTGTTCTTCCCCCAGAATCCAGCAGTTCTGCAGCCCCCGCCTCCTAGGGCGACCTGCTGATATTTCCTGACGACTAAGCTGTCAGTACAGGCTTGACCGCTGAAATAAGGCTTAAGGCAGCGTTTTCACTGAAGCCTTTATTATGCAAAACAGGAAGGCTTTAGCAAGCCAGTATAAATTAAAACCAGAGCAGAGAGGGTTTTCCTTCTGTGGTCATGTGCCCTTTAATTACACAGCAAGGTTCTAGTGAGGTGCACTGAGGTTTTCCCCGTCGAGCCCCTGTCCTCTGGGGTCCCGACAGGTCCCGTGGTGCTGGGTCTTCCTTGGAGGCTTTCGCGATGGTGGGTTTCTCATTCATTCCCTGCAAGCGGAGGCGAGCCAGGAGCCTGGGAAGAACTCAGCCGTGCTTCCTGCTCCTGCTCCCCTGCGCTCCGTCTGTACTGTGTAATGACACTGTTTTTATGCCAGTTTGCTCACAGCTCGGGGCCAGTGTCGTTCGTCTTCCAGTGCTGGCACCCATGTGAGGATGTGGGATGCAGGCCCCGCGCTGACCCTCCGCCACCTCTCCCTGCCCCATACCTTCCCCACCGACGTCCCCCCGCAGCACCCTTGCCCAGGCTCTTCCCCAGTGCCCAGCCCTCTCCCTGGCAGGCGACACAGCCCAGTTACAAGTGGCCTTGAGAGGAGGGGAAGACTGACAGCAGAAACCAAATTTACAGCAGGAGCGAAGCCACTCAAATACTGACCGAACCACACAGACTATCAGGACATGTGCTAGCGACTGGGGCTTTTCCGGGGACTTCACAAAACACAGCTCAACAACACAGCTGTGACAGGGAGTGTGCCGCCTCCCAGTGACAGCGCGGAGCCGCCAGGAGAGGGGTCTGCCCCTGGTCACCAGCAAACCAGAAGGCCCAAGGCCAGGGCTGTCACCCTGGGGCACACACTCCCCTAAAGAGTCCAGGGACAAGATTCTGGGTGGGATGGTTTGGAATCGGATGGCCAAAGCACCCTAGTCACAAAGAGGAACACTTGGGTGGCCGCAAAATACGAGAGAAGTGGGCTGTCAATGCTGTATCCTGTGTCTCACAATCTGGGCGTCCGCAGGTCTGGCCCGGGAGTGATGAAACCCCATTAGCGAGGGGGCAGGGCCTGCATGTGGAGGGCATCATAGGTGTCCTTGGTGGCCGTGCTGAGCCCCTGTCGAAAGCAAATCAGAAGAGTGGGTCAGGAGGCTGTTGGACAGGGACCGGCCCAGAGCCCAGCAGCTATGACCTCCCACCCGGCTCCAGGAAGAACCTCCTCACCCCACCGGCAGGAGCCCTGGGTAAGAGGACTACAGGAGACATGGGTCTGTGCCCTGCCAGGAGTGGCCTTGTGACAACTCCTTTCCAGCTAATTCTCACCCCTCTCCCCAGCTTCCCAAGTGCCGTGCCCTACAGCGCTTGGGCCCAGCCAACTTCCTGTCGGACCAGAGAGGAAGCAGGGTCTCCCACCTCGAATACTGAGCTGGAATCAGGGGGAAGGGCCAGGCCTACCCCAGAGAATCTGCTGTCCCTGGTACCTAGGCCTACGAGAAGCCTGGACTTGTCACAGGGAATGAGCGCGGGCTCCTTGGCCTCAGCCCTCCTCTGCGCGCCTCCTCCCCAGGCCCAGCTATTCCAGTATGTTCTTTGTCGGGGCACAGGCAGGCAAGGCTGGTCCCAACCTTGCTGAAACGCCTCTCTCCCTGGTCCAGGGGCCAGGAAGGGGATGGACCAACAGCAGCCACACACGGGCACGTTTCTGGGGTCCTTCTGGCACTACTCTGAACTCAGCCGAGCTCGGCATCCTGACACCCTGGGTCAGAAGAGCGAGCTGTGAGCAGCGCGGGGAGCCGGGAGGAGAGAGACCCGCTGGGGATCGTGTTTTACAGAAGTAGGTTGACTGAGCTTAGTTTGCATAATTATTTTCACTGATTTGCATAAACCAGGCACCTGACTACAGTAACATTTTCTTTCTGAAGTTGTCATTTTTCTTTCTTCTTCAATCTTCCCACCCATCCTCTCATCTTACTAAGGATACAGGCAGAGCCGGGTTTCTGCAAGGGCCCGGAGCAGCGGGCGAGGAGGCGGGAATCACCCGTGTGCATCCTTCGCCTGCAGGTGCACCTTTGGGGAGACTGCACAACCCGGGCAGCTGCTGCTCGTCTGCCATGGCCGCACAGTGCGTGGGGGCTGCCACAGCCCCCTGGCTGCAGCCAGGCAGTTTGCTGGAATGGCCGAGTCCCAGCCCTGCTCTGGGGATTTGCTGGCGGTGGAGTCACCACCGGCCTCAATGGGTGCCCTGGGCTGGCCCTGCCCAGCGGTTGGCAAGAGCTGGTGCCACCAGCACACAAAAAGTGGAAGACTTGATCTTGCCCCTGTCCGACGGGGCCCGCACGTCCCCACCGGAAGGAACACAGCGCTCGTACCTGGTACAGGACATCCTGCCCCTTGCCTCTTCGCCGCTGGTTCTGCAGGAGTGAAACGAGAACAGGATTAGAAAGTCAGGCAGTCAGCAGTGGCATTTCTGCTCAAGGGTCCCCAGAAAGTCAGAGGTGATATCTCCCAGCAGCACTCCTGTCCCCGGAGGGAAGGGTCCTCAGGCCATGGTCAGACCGTTGCCTCTGTGAGGCCTGGCTCCGATGGGCCCGGGTTTCGCTTTGCCCCGTTCAGATCCTCACAAACGTCAGATTCCTAGGATCTGGGCACCCTGGGATCTGGCTGTGTCGTTTGGCTGCTTGGAGTAAATGGGCTTCCCTTCAGCCCTTACAGTTCTTGGTAGTCACCGACGCTCACCGGGAATGGCAATGAGCCTCTGTGGGCAGCTACCAGCTCTGACATAGAGTCGGTTCAAGTCCTGGCTCCCCTACTTATTAGCTATGTGACCGCGGGCAAGTTACTTAACTTCCTTTTGCCTTATAGGGCACGTGTTTCTCATAGGGTTATTGTGGCAATTAAATAAAACCACACAGGGCCCCTGCTTAGAAAGGTTCAATGTTTTGCTCTCACTATTTTGAAATTCTTAATCGTTTATGGACAAGGGGTCCCACATTTCATTTTGCCCTGGGATCTGTAGTCCTGAGCACTGAACACACAGGAAGCACTAAGTACTTATTAAAAGTGACCTGCTTTTGCAAAGCCTGGGCAATCAGAGAATCTAGATTTGGTTTTCAATCCTGAAAGAGGATCGGCCCTTCCTCAGTTTCTCATGTGCCATCCAACCAGGTGAGAGCTGGGTTCACCTCCGCCTCTGGCAGCCCCCGCACTGGCGTTTGCAGGTGGGATGCAGAGTGGGTGGGAAAGAAGGCTGCGGCGGGGTGTCCGGAGGACCGTGAGGAACTCCCTTGGGAATGAAGAAAGAGCCACACTTACCTCGCCCTTTACCCTAATCTCACTGTAGGCTTCTGCCATCTTGTCTTTCTGCAATGCCTGGAGAAGAAGAGAGCATGAGACTGTGATTTTACTAACTAATGCAGAAGACAGTGGGTCCCCCGCAAGAGGGAGCCCCTTGATCCCCAAGTTGGCAGGAGGCTCCCACAGTCAAGGCTCCAAACCTAATTCACACAAACTTCTCTGCCCACAACCAGCTCCAGCCCACCCTCCTCGTCCTCAGCCCCTTGGAATCTCCTCTAAGCTGCCGGCCCTCTGCACTGAGCTGAGAAGCTCAGATAAGGCTCAGAAAGATAGGATGTGGCATCCTAGACAAAGACTCAGGTATTAGACAACACAAGGGCTCACCTGGAGCCCCCAGAGTCATTTATTTGAGCAGGTTGTCCCTTCAGACAGCCAACACCAGGGGCTGGAAGCAACCCTCCTCTGCCCGGGAGGGTCAGGGAGGTGGCTCCCTTTATAGCAGGCCACCACCCGCAAGGGGCGCCTTCGTGGCAGCCCCAGATCGAAACCACAGTCAGGTTCACACCCAGGAGGGTGAGGTTGACCTTTCAGTCAGAGGAGACACTCAGGAGAACCTTCAGCCCTTGAGACCAGGGGGCCCTCAGAGGGGCCTGCCAGCTCGACCTCGCTGTGTCCCCTACACCCCAGGCTGACCAACCTAGGAACTCTGGCAGCAGGCTTAGGAGGAAGGGAAGGAATGGGCGATAACTTGTCACTTTTCAGCTCAGGGGCCTTTCTAGAAGCAGGTGCTACTGCAGGCAGCAAGCAGGTGAGACATTACTTGACCCAGGGAAGGGAAGGTCTGGACAGACAAAGATGGCAGAGTATGGAGAAACGCCTTCACCCAGAGCCCTCCTTCAGCCCTTCCCTCTGACTTTCCAAATTAAAGTGTGAAAGCTCCTCTACTCACATTGTACAGGCCTTCCTGAGGATTCCTCTTCCTCTGCTAGGAAAGACAAAGGGGAAGAAGTTAAGGGCAAAGAAAGATGAATCCAGGCTATGAGAGTGCAGAGCCCCATTCTGCCCCCACCCTCGCCCTGGGCCCGGGCCCTGCCCCTGCCTCTCCCCTGCCTCCTGTGCTCCCAGCCTTGCCTGGCCGCCAACGGGCCGCAGCACCACATGGCCCATACCTGGTTACATGCACAGGGCTCAGAGGGCCTGGACGGGGGCTGACAGACACGTGTGACCAGAAACTTTGAGGGCCACTGGCAGCATCAGGCAGTACTGCCCTTAAACTGAGGCAGCCCCAGCCTTTGTCCTGAGCCCTGCTCTTAAGAGGACCCTAGCAAACCAAGTTCAATGACACATGAAAAGGATCATTCATCATGATCAAGTGAGACTTATCTCTGGGTGCAAGGATGGTTCCACATATACAAATCAATAAATCTGATATCCACATTAACACAGTGAATGACAAAAATCATATGATTATTTCACTAGATGCAGAAAAAGCCCTTGACAAATTTCAACATCGTTTCATGATAAAAACTCTCAATGAATTAGGTATAGAAGAAATGCATTGATACTTCAACACAGTAAAGGCCATAGATGACAAACCCACAGCTAATACCATACTCAACAGGGAAGAGCTGAAAGCTTTTCTTCTAAAATCTAAAACAAGACAAGGTTGCCCACTCTCACCAATTCTGTTTAATATTGTACTGGAGTTCCTAGCCAGAGAAATTAGGCAGAAGAAAAGAAATAAATGTATCCAAATCAGAAAGAAAGAAGTTAAACTGTCTCTGTTTGCAGATGACATGATCTTATACATGGATATCCCTGAAGATTCCAAAAAAAAAAAACCCAACTATCAGAACTAATAAAGGAATTCAATAAAGTTACAGTATGCAAAAATCACACAAAAATCAGTAGCCTTTCTCTACAACAACAAACTTTCTGAAAAAGAAATCAAGAGAACAATCTCACTTATAAGAGCTACAAAAATAAATAAAATACTTAGGAATAAATTTAGCCAAAGAGGTGAAAGACCTATATACCAAAAACTATATAATGAAAGAAATTGAAGAAGACACAAATAGATGGAAAGAGATCCCATGTTCATGAATTGGAAGAATTAATATTGTTAAAATGTCCATACTACCCAAAGTAATCTACAGATTCAATGCAATCCCCATCAAAATTCCAATGTTATTTCTCATAGATATAGAAAAAATGCTCAAATTCACATGGACCCACAAAAAAAAAAAAAAAATAGCCAAGGCAATCATGAGCAAAAAGAACAAAAGTTGGGGCAACACACTACCTGATTTCAAACTATACTACAAAGTGATAATAATTAAAATAGAATGG